TCATGAGAAAAGAAAGAAGCAGACCCAGCAGTGCCTTCTTCACCAGGTGAGGCCCAGGTGGCACTGTGCTGTGCTAGGTGAACAGATGCTTTGCGGACGTTCTAGTAAAGAGAAGTGTGGGGAATGGCCACATTGCACTAGTCATAGTAATAGGGGCGAGAAGCTTGAACACAAGAGGCTACTGCATGTGGGGTGCAGGTGCAAACTCAGGTGCTGCCAAGGTAGCATTAAATCTTTTGTATGGGGTGATGCTGTTCGTTCACTTTTGCTGGCTTTGTAGCTTATTTAAAAGATCTATACGAATGATTTTGTTTTCCATTATGCAGAAGTTCTAAGTAGAGAAAGTTTATTCCTAACTTTGGTTTATACAGATTTAATTAACATGCAAATATAATAATGTCAACACTGGGGGCTGCGGGGAAAAAGATTTTTTTTCTGTTGTTCCTTAGCTATTCTAAGTTTGGAGGATGATGGCATAATGTTTTCTGCAGAAGGTGCTTTCGTGTGCCCAGACACTGGTCCAGAGAGTCTGTCTTTGTCTGTGGGGTTTGAGGATTCTCTTTTGGCGTAACCCGGCAGGCCCAAGGTTCTCAGCCCCACTTGAGGGCACACTTGCATACTTCAACCCGTCCTCTGTCCTTTGAGTTGAAGTAGAAGTTATCGTGGAAGATTTTGAGGCAATAATTAACTGTAATTCCAGGGGAAAGAAATTTGGTCAGTTTCTATGCAGTGCAAATTGGCCTCCCCTATCTATCTTGGAGTGAGCTTTGTGTTCAACTCTGTTATCGGGCTCTTTCCTGGAAGCATTGTTTCCCGTTTCAATATAATTGCTTCAAAATAATGTGAAAAGATCAATTGCCACTTGTCAGCAGTAATTTTCTGCCACTGGGAAAAAAAAATAATGTGAGGAGGAAAGCAAAATATGGGCTGGCTTATTAGCCAAGATGGAGGGAAGGAGCACCCTCTGCCCTGCCCCGGAGAGTGGATTTGAGCTGGGAGGCAAGGCTATGCCCTCTCTGTCTCTGTGCCTTTTGCTCCTGTAGTTTTCCATGCCATGAACCCTTCCCTGCACCTTCTCGTCCCAGCCCAATCCTACCAGTCACTCCAGGGCCAACTGTAATCCCGGACTTAACTAAGAATACTTCCTGGTAACTCTAGCCCAGAGAAACCTCCCCTTCCATTCAGTTCATTGGTTTACCCAATTCTCAATGCATTTATTCCACAAATACTGATTGAGCACCCACGTAAATATTGGAAGGTTTTAGGCTGCAAGGAACTGAAAACCTTTAGGGAGTTAAATAAACCCTCCATAAGGGGATTAAATGAGCAAACAGGTGTTTATTTTTCTCTTGTAACAAGAAAGTGGCTTCTGGCTTGGCTTACAGTCATCATCTTGGGACTCGTGGCCTTTCCTACATATTCTTCACTTTGGGTTATTAGAAGACCACTGGGCTTCAGGCATCTACCTACATTAAGTCAGGAAAAGAGAAAAGGGAACTCTTTACACAAGAGTCCCTTCGATTAGGAAAGCCTCTCTTTTCAGAACCCCTGGCAGAGTTCTTTTAAACTGCTTTATTGAGGTGTAATTGACATATAACAAACAGAACCTATTTAGAGTGCATGAGTTGATCAGTTTTGATATACGTACGAGGGGACTTTAAAAAGTTAATGCGAAAACGAAAATGAAGTACAGGTTATTTTGGTGCCCCAAACTTTTGAAACCCATGCATACTTTTGTTCATGATGCACATGCTCCCCAAGCTTTCTGAAGACCCCGGTATATACACGTGAGACCATGACCACAATCGAGACAGTGAGTGTCTTTTATCCCCCCAAATCTTCCATAATTCCATTCCCCACTCTCCAGATTTTTGATTTTTATTTATGTTTTGTGGGCCAGAACACAATTTTAAGGCCACTCCTAGCTGCTAGGGCAACTGGGAAAATCTGTACTTTGGATTCTAGTACATAAGGGAAAAGAGGGCGGGACAGAATGTCGGGCCAGCTAACGAGCCATGTGTGCCCAGCCCGCTGCTCCAGAACTGCGACGGGAAGACTGAACAGGACAGCTCGGTCTCTCTCCCACACAGCTGGCAGTCAGAACCTTTGGCCACTTGGTTGGCATGACCTCGTTCCATCAGTTATTATCAGGAATGGGGAAGCTGCCTTCCTCTCTTCCTGAACTCAGTAGAACTGACTCCCTCCCCTGCCCCAGAGGCTAAGGTGAGAGAAGGGAACTGAATCATTACACTGACTGCACACCTATTCTTCAGTGGGTGTTGGGTGCCTCCTCTGTGCCCAAGTCCTTACAACGACCCTGTGAAGTATGTATTCTTTCAGTCTTTTCCCAAATGTGGAAACGGAGACCCGGAGAGGTGAAGTGGCCTGCTTAGAGTAGCACAGTTTGTAAGTTAACAAGTCTGGACACAAGACCAGATAAGAGACCATCATTTGTGCTCTTTCTTCCAAAAGAAATCAGAGTACCAGGCTGGGAATCATTCAGGAGGTGTGGATTCATGCTTGGACTCCAACAGGCTCCAGGAAGTGAAGTGGCCCACCCGAGGCCTTGCAGCCCGAGGTCAGCAAATCTTGCACCAGACTCTTCCCCTGCAGATCTCCTGGTCATTGCTCATTCCACTGTGCCCAGGATAGGTCAGTCTTGGAGAGGTGATGGGGGAGAATGGAAGGGAAGGGGCAGGAAGCAGTAGAAAATCCTGTGGGAAAGGGGACTCCAATATTTAGCATGATTTGCAGCTATTGCATACTTTTGTTCATGATGCACATGCTCCCCAAGCTTTCTGAAGACCCCGGTATATACACGTGAGACCATGACCACAATCGAGACAGTGAGTGTGTTTTATCCCCCCAAATCTTCCATAATTCCATTCCCCACTCTCCAGATTTTTGATTTTTATTTATGTTTTGTGGGCCAGAACACAATTTTAAGGCCACTCCTAGCTGCTAGGGCAACTGGGAAAATCTGTACTTTGGATTCTAGTACATAAGGGAAAAGAGGGCGGGACAGAATGTCGGGCCAGCTAACGAGCCATGTGTGCCCAGCCCGCTGCTCCAGAACTGCGACGGGAAGACTGAACAGGACAGCTCGGTCTCTCTCCCACACAGCTGGCAGTCAGAACCTTTGGCCACTTGGTTGGCATGACCTCGTTCCATCAGTTATTATCAGGAATGGGGAAGCTGCCTTCCTCTCTTCCTGAACTCAGTAGAACTGACTCCCTCCCCTGCCCCAGAGGCTAAGGTGAGAGAAGGGAACTGAATCATTACACTGACTGCACACCTATTCTTCAGTGGGTGTTGGGTGCCTCCTCTGTGCCCAAGTCCTTACAACGACCCTGTGAAGTATGTATTCTTTCAGTCTTTTCCCAAATGTGGAAACGGAGACCCGGAGAGGTGAAGTGGCCTGCTTAGAGTAGCACAGTTTGTAAGTTAACAAGTCTGGACACAAGACCAGATAAGAGACCATCATTTGTGCTCTTTCTTCCAAAAGAAATCAGAGTACCAGGCTGGGAATCATTCAGGAGGTGTGGATTCATGCTTGGACTCCAACAGGCTCCAGGAAGTGAAGTGGCCCACCCGAGGCCTTGCAGCCCGAGGTCAGCAAATCTTGCACCAGACTCTTCCCCTGCAGATCTCCTGGTCATTGCTCATTCCACTGTGCCCAGGATAGGTCAGTCTTGGAGAGGTGATGGGGGAGAATGGAAGGGAAGGGGCAGGAAGCAGTAGAAAATCCTGTGGGAAAGGGGACTCCAATATTTAGCATGATTTGCAGCTATACACTGGCTGCAGGACCTTGCAAGACTTTCTGGCCCAAGAAAGCATGTTGGGCTCCCTGGTGCAGGCACTCTCAGAGTTTCCTGAAGGCTGTTAGTGCTGAGAAGATTCCTGACATTGCTACTGAAAATACAGCTGTGCAGAGATTAGGAATCAGAGTAGATTTCCCGAGTTGGAATCCTGACCGGCCACGTGTCCTTGAGCAAGGCGTACAACTTACCTGTCCTGTCCATGAACTGGGGAAGATCAACCTGCTGCCGCACAGGCCTGCTGTCTTGCTAGAGACAGTGTGTTCATCCTGGAATGTCCCACACTCAGAACAGGTGAGCCCTGCCGTGGCTGCTGGGGAGCGTGGGTCAGAGCTGCTGTGACGTGGGGAGTAGTCCGTCCACTGCTGGGTCTCGCTGCGGGTGAGACACCTCTTGTCTGCACAGGCAGCCAGACCCAGCATCCAGGCCTCCTCTTGTAACCTTTCAGAGCTCTGTCCATCCTGCTGGGGCAAAATCCTGTGGGGGGCACCTCACCTGAGTCTTCTGGTCACAATCAGCCACAACCTTGGTGTCCACTTGCTTTGACTTGAGCCAAAGGGCAGAGGGATCTCACTTAACCCTGAACCACCAGTGGAGGCAAGAAGTCTACTGATGAGCAGTCAGGATATATCCAACTGGTGGAACTTCTAGACTGGCAAACCCCACACTCCCCACAAACTGACACAGGGACTGTTAGTTCCTTGAAACAGATGGGGTGTTGAGGGAGAGAGAGACAGAGAAGATCCAGTGTCACAGCTGAACCAGATCCCATGTTTCTCAGAGCCTTCGCTGTGCGAATAGTACTCTCTGACTCTCCAGTACTATGCAGGGGAGGGGGGCACAGGGGAGACAGCAACCCCTTTAAGGGCTCACCTCCCTGCACTAGGATTTGAGGCACACTGATCTTGTCAGCCTCTGGTCATCACCTGGCTGGTTGCTGAGTGAGACTAATGAAGCCATGATAGTCTTCTGCCTTTGTTTTCCCCTCTGGATAATGGGGGTGGTCTTCGTGGTGGCCAAATTGAGCCCAGGAGCCTGGAGCACAGCCCTTAATGAGGGCTGCTTGGTGATGAAAGGCCCCCTTAAGCTTCAGTCACCATTATTGCATGACGGAATAAATGTGGCCAGCCTAGGAGACGCGCACGAATAAATTTGAATAGCAAGACACAAATGCGGCCCTTAACTCCGACGAGCAAATAGAGTTTAATAAAGAGGTAAACTGAGACCGCTTTTATTTATTGCTGTGTAAATGTATTTAAAAAGGTATTGGCTTTCCACAGCTGCAGAGGCCGGTTCCTCCGCAGCCTGGTGCTTTAATGCCTGCCGCTGTTATTAGAGCCGTAATGAATGAGCCGCTGTGAGTGCGCTCTTCAGAAGGACTGCAGAGGTACAAGATTAATGAGATGAGAGCACTGAAAGGTACAGACGGCCTCTGTTTCCCAGCCGCCGAGCACCATGTCTGCAGCAGCACCTCTGGCTTTGTTTGCTCCATGGTGGCCGAGAGGCTGCCACATGGAACCGTCCCCCGGAACAGGCTCAGGGCTGGCAAGGCATGCACCTCCCACCAACTTTCATCCTGAAGCCCTGTACCTCCTCCTCGCTGGCCTCCTCCTTGCTGGCAGGGTCCTTTTGCTGCTCCTTAACCCCAGGGCAGGCTTACTCTGCTGCTGCCTTCCTGCCCGGGCCTGGATTTGTTTCTGGTTCCTCTTCCTGCTGCTTGGGATTTGTACATTCCCCTCACTGGCCTGCACACCCCTCTTTGGAGCTGCTTGTAGAATCCTGTGGTTGGATCCTGAAAGCCAGCACCGCATCAAGAGTGGGAAGTTCAGTTGTGCTGGAGAGCAGCTTCTCCGGAAAACAGCCAGGACTTGAGTTGCCTACTCAACCCTGTGGGTCCCTAGGGCGAGTGGCTGCTTAACAGAGCAAAGGTGACCTGGGGTGGTGGTGAAAGGGCCAGTGGGTGAGGGGACTTTCAGAGTCAGGAGTTCATAAGTCATTTATAGAAAGATGATTTGGAGGCTGGACTAAATCAGCTGAGTGGTTTCACAGCTACCACAGAGGTAGGCATTAAACCCATTTTGTAGATACGGACATAGAGGGGCAAAGGGTAGTGGGGTAATGAAACATACTTGTGCTCACACGGCCACGAAATACAGGATTGGAGACTCCCCGGAAACCCACCCGTCAGTGGGAATGAGCTCTCTCCGGTGTTCCAGGCGTGCAACGTTCCATTGGCAGCAAGCAGAGACTCTTGCTTAGGGCTCACTTAGACATGACCTAGATTGATTAAAAAGGGCCAGAACTAGTTGAGGAATAGAGACAGCTACCCACCAGAGGAGTATGAGTACTACAGTGGAGGAGTCGGGCAGAAAGAGCCCAGGAAGGTGGAGGCTGTGTGACCTGGGGAGTCACTTCACCTCTCAGAGCCTCTGTTTTCTCATCTGTCAAATGGATAACAACAGAACCTAATTCCTTGTATATTTGTGAACAGCCTATCAGATAATGCATGTAAAATATTTAAAAGCGCATGGCAAATTTTCAATACATATGCAATAAAATAAATCTAGGTCTGCTATCTGGGTCAACATGCAGCAAGAACCCTTGACATGTATTCAGAGTACCAGGAAAGAAAAGTTCAGCTCCATTTGACAGCCCAACGTGAACCTGCAAACAGGCTGTCTGGAGGATGGGCTGGGAAGGCCGGGAGGGCTGGACATGTCTTCATCATTTTTACTTTTTAGCATCTCGTTGTGGAAGAGCTTCAAGACACCTGACCCTGTATCCGTGCCAGTGCAAGAGAATACAGCAGTGACCCGACAGCCCCAGCATGCGCCTTCCTAAAACTCACTTTTTAAAAAACTGCCAGAGGACACGTGCTTTCCACAGAGAGAAAGAGAGAAAGCACCTCCCCACTGTGATTCCTTCTCCTCTCCTCCCTCCCATCAGGATTTTGGGCACACATGCACATGTGCCTAAGAGCTTCCTAGCTCCCAGGACCAGGCTTTGAACCCTCGTTGGCCATGTGGAATCTAACTCCCTTAACCACTGAGCTATAGGACCAGCCCCCTAAAGCTCACTTTCTGGTAACATGTACTGAAGGCCAAGGGCTAGCAAGGTCCAGAGAGGGGAATTTAGAAGAGCAGGAATTTGGAGAAGGGTGCCATTTTATAGTGGCCAGGCATGGCTTCATGGAGATGACATTTCAGGAGTGACCTAGTATGTTGGGAAGTGAGCCAGGTGAATATCTGAGTAGAGAACTTTCCAGGCAGCCAAAAGAACGCATGTCAAGACCCTGTAACGGGGCATGCCTGGGCATTTGAGGGTGGTATGGGCTGGAGCAGGGTGCACGAAGGGGAACACAGCCAGAGGTAGCTCAGAGCAACTGTAGGAGGCCAAGTTTCTAGGTTCTCTAGGTCTTGTAGACCCACTCCCCCTTCCCGGAGGGACTTCAGTCTCTATTCTCACTGTGACCTGAGCTAATGGAAGTGTGACGCCTTCTCCAGTTGATCAGTGGGATAGGCCAAGGTATGGGACCAGGGGAAAATGGCCATTGCTGTCTGATCCCCAAAGAGGACCGAACAGAGAATGAGCAGACATTGAGGGTGGAGAGGCAGGCTGGTCACCATGAGCACCAGGCGAGAGGTCCTGGTGAAATTCTGTAAGCTGCAGGTTGCCCGGGGAATGGAAGGCTTAGGTATTGCCAGAAGTGAGAAGGGCAGTTTGGGGTCAGTACAGACTCTCAGGAGAGAGAGAGGAGGGTATAGGTGAGAGCTGGGGAGGGCCAGGGGAGAAGAGCATGCCAGTGGGTGAAATTGTGCTGGGTGGCTTGTTGGAGCCAGGGAAGGGAGGAGGGGAAGGGGTGGATACAGGGGTCACAGACAGAGAGGTGGAAACAAACCCAGCTGATGCCCAGACTGGAGCCCACCCCAGCCCTCCCAGCCCCACATTAGTGCTCATTAGCACATCTTCTAACTTACCAAGAAATTCAATTTCCTACAAAATAACCAGCCAAGTCCCAAGAGAGCCAGAAGCCTTATTCATCACCGCTGAGCTTTCCGAGGACCTCAGTGTCCACCCTGTGGGTCTCCTCCTGTGGGGATGCCGGCACACCGTGGGAAGAGAGACTAATTGGCAACTCGGCAAGCTGGGGTATTTTTTTCCACTGCATCTGCAGTTTCTGGGTAAACAAGGCACCAAATCAGCATTCGGTATGAGGCAAAGGAAAGTTTGCACGCTCGCCATGTGGCTGAAATTAAGTGAGTGGTGCAGTTGCTGAAGCATGTATACCCAAAAATAAACATTTAGGAGGCCAGGGTGGTAGATATTCTTTTGTGGCCTTTTAAGGAAGGCAGATGTCAGTTTCTTTTTCTTTTGTTAAAATTCCAAATAAAAATATCATTAGCAATATTTCTGATGCCATTTCAAAGTTGTCAGCTGAGGTAAGTAATAGTGTATATGTTTGTATGTAGAGATTATATATATACATATTATATATACATATATATGGTGAGTTATGTGTGTGAATGTGTGTGAGAATGGCAGAGCACACATATACATGTATAACAAATATGTGTAGATTTTGTAAATATGCATGCATATGGAGGTATGTGTGTGGGTATTTCAGTGTGCAATTGTGTGTATGACTGTGTGTGACCCTGTGTGTGAGTACGTAGGTGTGTGCATGCATGTATGCATTGTGCGTGAAGGTGTGTGTATTTGTGTATGTGCACGTTTGGTCTATATAAGAGGGTGTGAGTGTAGGTGTGCATGTGTCTGCTCTGCATTTGCAAATGTATGTACACATCCTATGTGTGTTGTGTATGCTTGCGTGAGAGTGTGTATATGAGGACGGGGCTGCATGCATGTGCCTCCAGAGCATGCACTGTATGTGTGCAGCGGGGTGTGTGAATGTGTGCTGCTCCCGGACAGCGTGCACACCACTGCCTGTCTCCTAGCAGCTCTCTCACTCCCTCCTGCATTCTTCAGCGGCCAGCCCCAAGGCTGCGGCCAAGAAAGCAATCAGGCCTCCCATTTGTATCCTGCCTGTCATCCACCAGAGCAGGCAGGCAGGCAGGCAGGCAGGCGGGGTGGGGGAAGGTGCCCGCCCTGCTCTCAGATGCAGAGGCCTCCCCTACAACAGAGGAGCACTTGGCTCGGCTGTGGGGGGGGGAGCCCCAGGCTTCCACTGCACTCCCAATTACTGGCACTCTTCTGAGCGGCTTATGGAAAAGGCATTGGTTGCCATGAGGAAGATATTCCACTGGAGCATTCCCATTCCCCACAAAAAGAACCTTCCGCATATTATACACATTTTTCAATGTAATTATCCCCAGCCCACACACACAGCTTGGAGGATTAAAACATAAAATACAGTCTGCTCCCCACACTCGAGACCAACACTACAACTGGCATCATAATAAATAAATGAAGTGGCCTCTCCTCCTTTCTCGCTCCTTCCTCCTCCTCCCCTTCCTCCCTCCCCTCCTTCTCTTCCTACTCCCTTTCCCCCTCCACCTCTGCTTGGCGCTGGGCTTGTTTTGCTTCTTGTCTCTGGATCCCATCCATTCCCTCCCAACCCCTCCCAGCGCAGCTCACAGTGGCGGGCAGCATCCCCACAAGGGAAGTCACCCCATGTTGCTTCTGCCACAACGGCTAGCCGGCTAGCCGAGGGCTTTGTTCAACCAGCCACCCAGGGTTCTGCTCACCCCGCCTGCTGCAGAAGGTTCACTGCGCTAAATGCTGGCGTAAGGGCGGGGTGGGAGGCAGGGAGATTTCATAAGCAAATGGCTTCGTGGATCATTGAAGGGACATTAGAAAGCATCCCAGAGCACCTAAAGCCGAATGCCTCAGTGCAAATGGATGGAAGGGCGTCTGCCGTGGAGCCGTGGAGCCGTGGAGCTGTGGAGCCGTGGATTGCAGAGCTGCTTGGGTTGCTAGGGAACAGCCAGAGAACCTTTTGTCTTCAGAATGCAGATCCTTGATGCACCCGGGATTCCCAGTTCTAGAGCCACTGACAGCCGGTTGTACCAGCGCCTGTGGGGGACCACCATCAGACACCATGCTGCCCCCTCCTCCCCTTTCTGTGAGATCACGTATGCACTGGAGCTGGGTTTGGTGGACAGCCCATGCTAGTAATTTTCTTCAAACAAAAACGCTGGTGCACAGCTTGGCAGTTACAGACCTGGGCTGCAAGGGTTTCCATGTGCTGATAACATGTTTCAATTTGGAACCCCGCTCTGGTTGGTTTTGAGTGCAGCACCTCCACACTGCACACCCCTCCTCTTGCATTCCTCTCTCTGGGCTGTCTCTCCCCCAGTCCAATTCCATGGTCACGCTCTCTCCACTCTGCCCCACTGACTTAACTGTGTGCTCTTGGGGAAGCAGAGTCGTGCAGCTTGCCTCTGAGTCCAGCAAGGCCCCCTTTAATAATACCCTCCAGTTAAATAGTAAAAGATGTGAGTACATTCTTGTCTGTACAAATTAATCAGGTGTTTTGGGTAAGGGTCCAGGGGCTGGTTCTGTTTACATTGCTTCACTAGGTATGGATTGTTCTAGGTTTTGGCTCAGGATCCAGTTTCTATTAAGATACCAATGAAATATTTCCCCAATGGCCCAGGAAGACTTGGCTAATGTGTTCTTATTGCATTTCTACCAGTTAAGGTGACATCAGACAAGTCCGTGACCCTAGCTGATCCTCGGTTTCTTTATGTATAAAATGGGCTTATTGAGAATTGGGTAAATAGTGTGCAGAAAGGCCTGGCATAGTAACTGTTTGCACTGTTGAAGCCTAGGCTGCAGTTAGCAACCCACGAGTGGGACTGAATGAATGATCTGGGCACTGTGTCCTTGCTTCCCTACCTTACTGGCCCAGCAGGCCCTGCCCTCAAGCCTCTGAGCCCTGGAACCTGCCCAGAGTTTCCATTTTGAACTTGGGCCAGACCTTAACCTGCTGGTAAAGTGCTGACTGACGGTTTAAACTTCCAAGGAAGTTGCAGCTGCTTTCCCTGCCTCGTTGCTACTCAGTGACTCAGTGACTCTGAGACCAGAAGCTTGGGCCACCCATGGGATGCCTACCCTAGCAGTGTGGGCCTGAGATTTGCTCTGTGCACTTGTTCCTGTGGCCCAAAGCTAGGCTGGATGTGATTTTCTATCCAACACTGTCCAGAAGAGAAGAACTACTAAGTGGAGTGTACAAGCTAGGTTTAGCTGATAGCCTGGGTCATGAGTTCCTGAAACTATGACAGCCTCTTTCTTCCTCACTCCGCATCCTTCTCCCTGCAGAACTCTCTGCCTTGCCTCAAATTCCTATTAAATCAGTATGTGAACAACACAGGTATGAAATGACACTACACTGTGGTCTGCCTAGAGCTCCCACTGACTCAGGTGTTCGTGGAAGTGGAGTTCCACAGAATCAGCCACCCCAGACTCTCTCCTCAGCACATGAGAGATGTAGGGTTACTGTAAATGTAATGCAGGCTGTATGCTGCCCAACGCATCTGGAATGGCGTCAATCAAGGGAACCAAGGGATAGACCTCCAGCCAGGGCCAGCTTCTACTGCTGGTGAGGCAGCTGACAACCCTGTCCCAGCAGTGCACTGGTGAAGTTTAAATCACCAGCTCTCCCAGAAAAGTGAAAACCAACAAAACAAAACAAATGGCAGGATTTGTAGCATTTGCTGATTTCTATGGTGTCAACAACCTCACCAAGCTCCCTACTTGATGTTACCAACTGTAGGGCTAAAATGAGTTTGCTCTTGCAGATGTGTATGAGCACAAATTTGTATGAGCCTGGGGGGAAGCTGGAAAGAGAGAGACAGAAAGACAGAAATGTTCATTCTGATGGGAGGTTGTACACCAGAAAATGATTTGTTAAAACAATAAGAAAAATCATTCTAAGAGCCAACATCATTAGAAGATAGAGGAGAGTGAATGACAAAGCCTTCAAGTCTTTAATTCTGGTTTCAATTCCAAGCTTTAACTGCTTAAGGAAGTTGGAAGACTGTCTTGATCTATCATTGCATTGTTAATAGAAATACCTGAGTCTGAGTGAATTTATAAAGAGATAGACGTTTATTCAGCCCACTGGAGATCCAGGGTTGAAGGGCCAACTCCTGGTGAGGTTAGAACATGGTGGAATAGAGCAGCTGTCCACAAGTTTCTGCCTATTCTGATTCCTGGGTGCTTGTCTACCTGTCCAAGATAGTACTGTACATTCTTTAGAATTTCTAAAACCCGAAAAAGCTAACAGTTCCAAGTATGGATGAGGATGTGGAGCAACTGGAATGCTCACACACTGCTGGTGGGGGTAGAAGATGGGCCAACCAACTTGGAAAATTGTCAGTATCTATTAAAGTGGAGCAAAGGTATACCATGTCGGTCAACAACTTAACTCCTATGCAACATAAACATACACTTATGTTCACCAAAAGACAGGTGAATTAATGTTTATAGTCACATCATTCACAATAGCTAAGAAGAAGAAACAACCCAAATGCACATCACTAAGAGAATGGACACAAAAACACTAGAATTCTATACAGCAATGAAAATGAGCACACCACCCATTTACACAGAAACATAGCTAAATCTAAGAATCATAATGCTGAGTCAATAAATGAGACACACAAGAATGCCTACTGTGTGATCTCATTTGCATAAAGTCCCCGATCAGGCCATACTGAAACAGGTCAAAATAATAGAGATATTCTTGGGGTCTCAGTAATTATAACTGAGATGGAATAGCTTCTTTTTTTCTCTAAATGACTCAAAAAATGTATACATATGCTTCAGCAAAATTGATATATTCAATATAATACATTCTAATATATAAATTCTGAACTCTGTATATAGTTCCCTCAAAAATATACATCATGTATTTTTATCATTTGGGAGTTTGAGACCCACTTCCCCTTTAGTCCTAAAATTTTCAGCACATCTAACTATTTCAATATATATTTTCTAAGACACAGAAGGTCTCTCACATAACCAGAGTTCAGAGATCAAAATCAAGAAATGTAACATTAATATAAAATTTATTTAGTCCGTAGTGCATATTCAAACTCCATTGACAGCCCAATGTCAGTTCTACCTGTTTTTCTCCAGTGGTGGATCCAGTGCAGGCTCTGTTGAGGTTCACGTACTGTGTTTAGTGTCATATCTTTCTAATCTCTTTAGATCTGGAAACAGTTCCCCAACTTTTCATTTCTTGACCTTGCTAGTTCTGAAAACTTGGCTATTTGTTTTGTAGAATGTCCCTCGGTTGGGTTCTCAAGGGAAGGTTCAGGTTTCACAGTTCTGGCAGACATTCCATGGCAGGGCAGCTGTGTCCTTCTCTGTGTGTGCTATCAAGGGGCACTTGCTGTCGGTTTGTCCTGAGTTTGGTTCCATCTGATTTGACTCCCTGGTAAAGGTGGTATCTGCTTGGTCTCTCCACCGTGAACAACTGCTCCTCCCTCTGTGATGGGTGGGTACTTTGCAGGGAAATGCTCTCAGACTACATGTTTCCCACTGAGCTCCTGCTATGTGCCTGCTCTGTGTAAGGATTGCAATGGTTTGCAAGACAAGGTGCAGTCACATCTTGCTGTCTTTACCCATAAAGAGAACCCACAGCTAACACTGAATCCAGAACCAGCTTGGTGCCAAGAACTGCACTAACATGAGTTCAAAGCATAATCTCATTTAAACCACATGGCACCCTGAAGGAGAACACTGAATAAACTTGCCCTCAGTCAGATATTTCAGACATGGTAACCACAGCAGCACTAGCAATCATGGTTAACATCCTCTGATGCTTGCTTCCTACTGCCAAGTGTTGTTCTAAGTGCTACGTGAATCCTTATTTTATGGGGCTTGTTTCTACCTCCATTTCATAGAGGAGAAAACTGAGGCTCAGATGTAAGTTACCTACCCAACATCCAGTGATGAGGGTTCACCTCCAGGCTGTCGGCCACATTCTTAACCACTTCCCATATCACCTTTCTGGGGTGATGCTAAATGGTGGTGGTGCAGTCACCTGAGTTAGGGTTTCTGGCCTGTGTCTTTCTTCACTTCCAGAACATTTTCCTTAGAAATATTCAAGCCCAGTGTGGCATGCTGAGGAGAAAGCTTTGTGTCTGGACCAGAGGAAAATGCAGAAGAGAGGTGTATAGGGAACAGATAAGAGGTGGTATTAACAGGAACCTATGGCGGTGCCCCAGAAGAGAGCAGGAAGGGTTCTTGGGCAGAGCCAGGGCTGCAGAACCAGGGCTGCAGAGCCTCAGGTCAAGGCTGCTCCCACCAGTCTTATCCTTTCTCTATACCACTTCCCCCATGCTGGGCTCCAGAACCTCATCACTAAGAAAATAGAGCCTTGAGTCTGGTAGAAACTCCTTGCCTGTAAGTGGGATGCTCCCATGAGCTCTTGGGTTTCTACTGAAAGTCCATTGGTCTTGGTGCCATTTTCTGTGATGTTTACTATTGGCCTATTCGTGCTGCCCATACCTGTAACCACCAACGCCACCACCCTAATTTCTCCTGGTCATGGGCCTTTTAGCATCATTAGGCTAGCAGAGGGAAGGCTGTGTTTATGGCTTGGCATGAAGGAAGAATATGCATATCTGTTGCCAGGCTACAAATGACTACCTCCCCTCCCCAACCAGAAGAAAGAAATAATGATTAAAAAATACTCAGTTGCTTGGCAGGCTTCTGGTGGCTTAGCTGTGGATAGTAAGGGGCCAGGAGAGACCTTGCCTTTCACAAAACCCACTGCCTCTCTGATTCCCTTAGATTTGGGTATGAGCTTTGTCTGTCTTGGGAAGAAAGAGAAGATGTTGAACTGTGATGCAAAAGTAGCATCACACCCGCACCCCAGAGACACAACCCCTCGTTGATGATGATGTGATTCCTCTCCTTGGGCGAAGAGAGGAACCAGAAGTTACGGTATTCCAAGGGGCAGAATAGAGATCGATATAGAA